CTCTGAGTGTGAATGGGTAGCCAGACTCTTAAATGGTGGGGACAGGTAACATGACAGGAAGTTAAGGGACAATCGGCAGTAATACCTTTGAGCATGGTTTCCTTACTGGGCCCCTAAGTCATTTCACAGGTGTTTCTGGACAGCATAATGTCCTGGGCCCAATGCTGGGCTCTGAGTCAATGAGGTGGTTAATACACATCTGACCCCTGCCTTCATGGGATGCTCTGTCATGCTGGAAACAACCAAGTGTCAAATACCATTTGGGAGGCGCATTGTGAAGGAAGTATCGGGGCATTTAGGGAAAACTCGCTAATCCCTAACCCGTTATGGAATGGCCAAGCACCTGCCTGACAGCTGGAAATGAGAGTGTCAGTGAGACAGGGGTGGACCTCGTGTAAGTGCTCAGCACATGCAGAGTGGGTAAAGTCAGGTGGGGCAGGTTGGAATCCTGGCTCTGCCCCTTGCTAACTTCATACTTCTGCACCTCTTTGAACCACAGTTTCTTCACTTGTAAAACTGGAACCCAAATAGTAGGTTCCTCATAGGCTGATTGAAATCAAGATCACATAAATCTATATCTGTATCTGTATAGATATAGATATAGATATAGATATAGATATAGATGCAGATACAGATATAGATATACATATAGATACAGATACAGATACAGTTATAGATATACATGACATCACAGGGCTCATGGCGTGTGCTCTCTACATATCCAGACCCCCTACGTTGCACATGCATGTACGTTGAAAGTACATTGTGCATACAGTGGAGTCAGGGTTGGGGAAGGAAGTCAAAGATGAGGTGGGAAAGCAGGAAGGCCAGATTACAGGAAGTCTCAGAGACAGAATTTAATTCTCAGTGTAAAGGGAGTTCACTGAAGGGCTTCAGTGAAGGTGATGGGTAATGTTACTTATGTTTTATGAAGATGAGAGAATGGGTCAGAGGGAAGTAGCAAACGTACAATCAGGGACGGCAGTTACAAGGCTATTTTAAGACTATGAAGGTGATGATGTAGGCTTGAATGCATACCTGCTCAGTGTGATATGACAGATACTGAATCAACTGTGTTCTTTGGATCGTCTTCATACCATGCACAAATCTTTACCACTGTAAGTAATGCCTTTGTATTAATGATGGATGAGATGAGGGGTGTGAGATACTGACTCTTCATTTCCAGGTACGGTTTATGGAATTCTCATGACGACTTTGTAGGGTAGGCTTTGCTTAGCCCTATTGTACAGATAAGAAGACTGAAGCTCAAAGACATCACTTGAGTTGCCTCAAGTCTTCCAGCTTATAAATGGCAAGACCATAATTGAAACCCAGGACTGTTAGACTTCCAACAATATTTGTTGTTTTTGTTCCTGTCGATTGCCTCTGTCTCCTTTAGGTTTCGTGGCAATAGGGAGATGTGTTTTCTTGGAGGTAACCTAGGTCATCAACACTAGTTGATCTAGTTACTAGATTAGCCAGACATTAGAGGGAACATAATGCAGGTCATAAGTGCTGTGATGGATCAGGAGGGAGGGGAGTAGGGCCGTGGAGTGGAGAGAGTTCCTGTGTACTTCAAGCTGAGACACAGGGCACAAGGTGTGTCTGTGAAGTAATAACACACTCCCTGTTTACTCATGAAAGCATTTGTCCCACACCCACAGACAATAGAGTGTTTCAGCTTTCTGTTCCCATAACGCTGGGTTACTCTCTATTAGAGCTCGTAATAGCCCATACTAGTGTGGCTGTCCATAAATAGTATGTGTTGTATCAATTCACTCAACAGCAGGCTCCTAAGGACCCAGTTTCTTACCCAGAGTCTGGTGTAGTGACAGAGGGGGACAATTGGAAGAGAGTATGGATTCATAATGTATGCACCCAGCACTCATGAAGAATTGCAAATAGAGTGTGAGAAGCTGGGGCAAACTTGGCATCCCCTGGGCAGTAATCCATTGATTCAAAAAATGGAAAAATGGAATAGCACCATTTTGGGTGAGAAAGTGGAGTGTGACCACCAGATTGGACTGGTTAGGAACTCAGGTCCCTCCAGTCATTCCAATCTTATTAATACCCCTACTACCTATCATTGATGTAACACAATGTGTCAGACATGATGGCATCACTTTGTACGTACTGTCACTTTATATGTATTAGCACATTTAACTCTTACTGCAGTCTTCTCTGAAGAATGTTAAGTACCCCATTTTACAGAGGAGGAAATCAAGTCTCAGAGAGATAGAGTTGCCCAAGGTGACTCAGCTAGCAAGCTATGACTATCATTGTTTAAAATCCATGACCTTATCTACGCATGGACTCATTACAACATAACTGATGACATATTGTTGTCTGTGGCCTCCATTTGCTTTGGATAGGAGTCCAGTTCAGGGGACAGGTGTAGGGGTAGCGATGGGTGGTATGGGAAGGGTCTAAGGGAGGTGGGAATTGATGAAAACCTCTGTAGCTGAAGTATTTCTTTCTAGGGTCTAAGGAGTCCTCAGCAACCTTTTGGTTTGAATCACTTTGTTCCTTACGGATAAATTGCTAAATTGCATCTTAAAACTAATTACAGTAAAAGTATGATTTCACTTTTACTTTCATTTCATAATTTTGGCTTTACAAAGAATGTTTCTAGATCCTTGGCCAAAATAATATACTTAATTTATCATTGTGTATGCTCAAGCCGAGCATTTTAATTGCTTGATGAATAATGAAAAATTGAGTTTTTATGAGTGCTTGGTTTCTTTTTTTTTTTTTTTAATTTTTTTTTCAACGTTTTTATTTATTTATGGGACAGAGAGAGACAGAGCATGAACGGGGGAGAGGCAGAGAGAGAGGGAGACACAGAATCGGAAACAGGCTCCAGGCTCCGAGCCATCAGCCCAGAGCCTGACACGGGGCTCGAACTCACGGACCGCGAGATCGTGACCTGGCTGAAGTCGGACGCTTAACCGACTGCGCCACCCAGGCGCCCCGAGTGCTTGGTTTCAAATAAGACCAATCCCACCCCTTCCATACACCATTCACCACTGTCCCACCCACATAAGATGGTAAATAATGAATCTGTTTCAAGTTATATTAAATAGTCTTGATTTTTTTCTATTGTAAAAGTAATAAGTGTTCGTTGTAAAAGTTTTTGTAATTAAAAAAAAATAGGAAAACTAATGTGAAAATAACATAGAACACCTCCCAAGTAGAGTCTCTATTAACTTATTTTTAAGGACTTACTTTTTTATTATTTTTTTTTTTAAATTTTTTTTTCAACGTTTTTATTTATTTTTGGGACAGAGAGAGACAGAGCATGAACGGGGGAGGGGCAGAGAGAGAGGGAGACACAGAATCGGAAACAGGCTCCAGGCTCCGAGCCATCAGCCCAGAGCCATCAGCCCAGAGCCATCAGCCCAGAGCCTGATGCGGGGCTCGAACTCACGGACCGCGAGATCGTGACCTGGCTGAAGCCGGACGCTTAACCGACTGCGCCACCCAGGCGCCCCAGGACTTACTTTTTTAAAGAGTGGTTTTAGATTCACAGCAAAGTTAAGTATGCAGATTTCCCACATACCGCCTGCTTCCACATATACAGATCCTCCCCTGTCGTCAGCATTCCCTGCCAGAATGGTGAATTTACTACAATTGGTGAACCTACCGTCCCCATAATTTTGCCTTTTCTAGAACATCACACCGTTGGAATCACACAGTAGCCTTTTCAGATTGACACATTTCACTTGGTAATACACATTTAAATTTCTTTCATGTCTTTTCATGGCTTGCTAGCTCATTTCTTTTTAGTGCTGAATAATATTCCACTGTCTCGATATACCAGTTTATTTATACATCCACCTACTGAAGGACATCTTGGTGGCTTCCAAGATTTGGCAATTATGAATAAAGCTGCTATAAACATCCATGTGCAGATTTTTGCATGAACATAAGTTTTCAACTCCTTTGTGTAAATACCAAGCAGTGAGGCTGCTGGGTAGTGTGATGAGAGTATGTTTAGTTTTATAAGAAGCCACCAAATTGTCTTCCAAAGCAGCTGTACCATTTTGCATTCCTACCACAAATGAATGAGAGTTCCTGTCACTTCACATCCTCACCAGCATTTCTTGTTGTCAGTGTTCAGTATCTCATTCTTGTTTTAATTTGCCTTTTCTTAATGACACATGATGTGGAGCATCTTTTCATATACTTACTTGTCATTTCTATAATTTCTTTGGGGAGGTGAGAATCCCTATTAACACTTTGACATACAATTTTCAGATATGTTTATACATATCTACGAACTGAGTTGATTTAAATCACGATCTTTCTCTTGACTTTCTCTTCTTTGCTTTAACAATAGTAATTGAACACTTTTTATATATAAAAACTGAAACGAGAGCTATCACTGACACAGGATAAGTCAGGGATGGTAAGGGTGCCATATATTTGCCTTCCCTGTACAAACAGCAAGTTTTCCTTTACCGCATATTCTTTTCTACTGAACTCAGAGGAGACCTCACAATATTTTTCAACACAGGTTCCAAGAAGACAGTACTATTCAGTTAATTGTGGAATGATAGACTGTATTTTTCCATCTCTAACCTTGAACCTGAGATGAGGAGGTCAAGTGGCTCCAGATATCGGAAACAAATTGATAATGAAGGTCAATCATGAGAGATTATTACTACCAGGCACCTGACACTGTAGAGCCTGATGTAGGTACTTATGGTATTCTCACCCTGTCCCCTCAAGCAAAATATGACATATCACTAATGAGGGGTTTTACTTCCAGGCTACAAATCAGTTCACTTTGATTCAGTGTGTGATGCTTGCTTATAAATGAATAATCCCCCTTGAGTCTAATTAAGTTGAGCCTAGTCTATATGCTTCCTGTTGAGATGGGACCTTCCCAATGTCAAGAACATTCCTATAACTTGGAAAACTAAGATGGGAAGCAGGAAGAGCAATTATGAGGATATTAACTGATCTCTCTCTCTCTCTTTCTCTCTCTCTCTGCCCAGAGTCAGATGTCGCTGACTTTGATGGCCGAAGCTCCCTTCTGTACAGGTTCAATCAGAAGCTGATGAGCACTCTCAAAGATGTGATCTCTCTGAAATTCAAGAGCATGCAAGGAGATGGGGTCCTGTTCCATGGAGAAGGTCAACGTGGAGACCACATCACTCTGGAGCTCCAGAAGGGGAGGCTCGCCCTACACCTCAACTTGGGTAGGGTCAGGCTTTGCTCCTTTCTATGTAGAGATAGCAGGAACTCCATTTTGTAGTGGGTCACAGTTCCTTATTGCCCAGGTGTTATCAGGTGAAAATTGCTGGAGCTCGGTGTAAGTGGTGTTTTCCCCTTTCACCTGTCAGAGAAGAAAAAATTACCATTTTGTGAAATAGTTAAGCTGTACATAGCATTCTTTGAAACAAGATAGAATTGGCAAGTATGGAGCTCTACAAGTTCATTGCTATCATGTATCTATGTATCTATCTATCTATCAATCATCTATCTTTTTTAGTAATAGAATTTAATTTGAGCACATTTAACACACATGAACATATATATATATTTTTAAATTTTTTTTTCAACGTTTTTTATTTTATTTTTGGGACAGAGAGAGACAGAGCATGAACGGGGAAGGGGCAGAGAGAGAGGGAGACATAGAATCGGAAACAGGCTCCAGGCTCCCAGCCATCAGCCCAGAGTCTGACGCGGGGCTCGAACTCATGGATTGCGAGATCGTGACCTGGCTGAAGTCGGACGCTTAACCGACTGCGCCACCCAGGCGCCCCAGAACATATATTTTTTTTAAACTGAGTTGAATCCTCAGCAGCTTTTTTTAAAGTTTATTTATTTTTGAGACAGAGAGAGACAGCATGAATGGGGGAGGGGCAGAGAGAGAGGGAGACACAGAATCAGAAGCAGGCTCCAGGCTCTGAGCCATCAGCCCAGACCCCGATGCAGGGCTCGAACTCATGGACCGCGAGATCGTGACCTGAGCTGAAGTCAGACACTTAACCGACTGAGCCACCCAGGTGCCCCCATGAACATATATTTTAATGAAGCTTGCTCATAATCTATTCTGATTGGTATATTTATGACCAATCATAAATTGGTACATTTATGAAAGTTGAATCCCAGGAGAAAAATAGAGAAGACGCATTTTAATTTATTTGGTTTCTTTCTTCTTTCTTTCTTTCTTTCTCTCTCTCTCTCTCTCTCTCTCTCTTTCGTTTGTTCTTTCTTTATCTTTCTGTTTTTCTGTCCTTTTTCTGGTTGAAGGGAGATAGAGGGTTATATGTATAGTGGGAAAGTCTAAGTTTCTAGGCAAACACAGTTTCCTTCAAGTGCCCTGGTTGTGCCAGGATGAACCCTAGACTTGCCAAATACCAGTTAATTTGGTACAGAATGTCCTCCTGCCTTCTGTGCATTGAGGACACTGGCCTCCTCCTGTGGGCTGGCACCCAGCATGGCCTCACCACAGGCAGGCCATCATTGTAATCAACTTCCTATTCCAGGGAACAAAAGAGAAAGGAACAGCCTCCTTTGTGTGCTCAAAGGTACTTCTGAAGGAAGAGTGAAACAAGTGCTGACGGCAGGGGGCAGAATTCCCAGAGGTGCAAAAGCAAACCTAACAGCTCTTCCGTAGAGAAAGAAACCAAAAGAAAAAAAAAAAAAAAACACACGCACACACAAAAACCAAACAAACAAAAAAAACCACGAGCCCATGCTGAAGGAACAGCAAGTGCCATTCCTTATGAGAATGATTCCCTGCCTCTCATTCATATTTGTTAGCATTTGGGAAAGGGACGGTTATGGTACTTGTGGAAGATAATTATCACTAAGTATTCGCTATCGGAGTAAAGAAGGACAGTCATAGCAGAATTGAGTTTGTAAGTTCAAGTTGCATGGAAAGCTGGAAAAAAATCTCAAGTATACTTTCACAATTAGGAGGAGAGACATAAGAATAAAGATTAGTGTGGACTCATCCCAAAAGCCAAACTATGTAAGCCTCTATTTTGAGTCATTTCTGAGTATCTTCTTACCCACCATGGTGAATATTGGCAGGGGTAACAGGGAAAACATCTGGAATCCCAAGTTTAATTCATAAAATTGACATCTAGTGCATTAGATTAAATATCCACCAAAAGCATCCTTAGAAGCAGAATTTTACCCAGAAGAAAGCAGCAAGAGGATTTGCTAGTAACCTGATTAATTGTATTAACATACATGCAAAAGCAACTCAACAATGAATTATCTGAAGGGCGGGCATACACATATTCAGCAAAAGATGTATCCGTTTATTAACTGGCCTTCAATTTTGAGGAAGGGACTGTGGATGAATGGAGTGGGGCCCCTCAACTGGCCATGCCTCAGAGAGCACTGTGCGTCGTGAGTGAAGTTACAATTATTTGTCAACGCCAGAGCAGGCGCCTTCTGATGACACTCAGTCTGCCAGTTGCTGCCATTCCCAATTATGTATGCTGTCCCTCTACAATGCTCTGCTCCAGCATGCATAATCCAGTGTTGCAAACCAGTTTCACTCACAGTATTGGATGATGGAAAGGAGTAGGTGTGGTCACTCAACAGAACTGTTTTCATTGCAGACATGTGCCAGCTATTTGTTATGGGGAAAGTCACATAACCCACAAGCCTCTGTTTACCTATGTAGAATCCGGGGCTAAGGAATAACTGTCTTGTAGAGCATGGACACGAAAACCAAAAATATTATAAATTAATATTCCATGTCAGTAAGTGAACCTAATGAAGGATCCCAAAGATAAGCTCTTAATATTGCTCATTTCTTCATCAAACAATATCCAAATGCCCTGTACTCTTCTCCATGCCAACCTTCCTGAAAAGAAATGGTGTATGAAATAAATAGGACCTATTCCTTGCAATGAAAAACAAGGCAAGTCTCTTTTCCCCAGATTCCATGTGCCCTGTTTTTCTAATCAGGATGGTGACAAAGTAAAACCTCATTGAGTGAATGATTCAGTAGTGAGAATATGTTCTTCATCTAGTCTGCATAGTTTGAGAATTTCTTCATCTTAGAAAATGAAATGCTGTGGATTTGAGTGTTCCCTGTACTTCCCTATTTGAAGCAGCCACCTAACTTTCCTATAAATCAGTGCCAATTTGCATGTTTCTTCTCTAGAGAGACACTGCCACGTATCAGTTCCTTACCCCTTCCTACCTCACAAATAGGCAGCAGATCTCTGGAAGCACTAAGTTAAGGGCACAGGGGATGATAACTGCTTTGATTTGCTCATAACAGACAATCTGTCATGTAGATTGCAAAAGGGCAGGACAACATTTGTTCATTTCTATAGCTCCAGAACTTAGGAAAACACCTGCCTAAAAATGAATACATTGGAAAAAGGAGGTTCCATCTAAAATAGCAGGGGCTGGCACAATGCATGTTGTTACCGTTGGGCTTGCTCACCCCAAGCCTGTGCACCTGGCTCCCTCATGTGCCACTCTCTCTCCTATGATGGTGCCCTGCTATTTATAAAATCCCCACAATGTGCTAGGATCCTAGCCAATCTTCAAAGCAGCCCTGTTAGGTGAACAAACCAAATTAGCCCAATTACCCATAAGGAATATTAAGATCAAAAAGAATAAATCACTTCAGTTTACACAGTTAGCTATAAGGTATCGCCACTGTTAAAATGTATTATATCCAATCCATTTTTTCACTGTTATGTTAAGATTATAAAATATATGTCAGTTTTAGAAAATCTGAAGAAAAAATAAAATCATTATATTTAAGAGAAAACAGTCACTTGAAATCCTACAATTCAGTCATCTCTGCTATTAATGCTTTAGTATATTTTTCAAATGTTTTTTTCTTAAATATTTATATAAACATTTTACATATTATGCAAAATTCATGTTCTTTCTATGTTGCCACACAGCCTCCGGAATAGAAAGAATTCATGTTATGCATGATCATGTGTACCTCTTAATATTTTAAATTTTGTAAAAGAAATGAATCAAGAATAGAAAGAAAGAAGGAAGAGATGGATGTGAGGGGGGAGGGAGGAGGGGGAGAAAGAGAGGCAGAGAGAGAAGGAAGGAGGGAGAAAGAGAAAGAGGCAGAGAGAAGAATGAGGGGAGAAAAAGGGAGGGAGAGGGAGAGAGAAAGAGGAAGAAATAAAGAGGCAGAGAGGAAAGGAGAGAAGAAAGACAGGGAGGGAGAGAGAAGGAGAGAGAGCAAGAGAGACAGGAAGAGGAAGAGGCAGAGAGGGAGGGAGGAGAAGCAGGAGGGTGAGAGAAGGAATGAGGGAGGAAGAATCCAAGAATCCAAGATAGTGGGCTAAAGTATAGTGCTAGGCCAATGAAAGAGGTAGTTGTTTTTTTGTTTCTTTTTCTTGTTTTTTTTTTTTTTTTCATTTTTTTTTTTTTTTTTTGTTTTTTTTTTCCCTGCCCAGCTCTCATGGGCACTCCAGCAGCCTTTCCTTTAGTGACAATTCTCCAGTGTGTGTCCTTATCTAATCTGAGACTTTACAATTCAGCAATTCAGGAAAAGAGTGGAGGGGTTCAGCACCATGGACAGCTGCCAAGGCTCCTGCTTGGGAGTCCTATGGGCTGTGGTTCTTTTCAAGTGATGCTCTTTCCTGGCTGATTCACATTGCCTAGTTACCTCTACTGTGACTGACTTGGACAGGTCAGTTCTATGGTGAAATTGACCTAGGTCAACCCATTTAATTAATTTCTTAGGGTAAAGCAATATTTTTCTTTCCCTAAAAGTATTAATGGGAAAGTGATTTCTTCTCGTGAGGAGATCATAGAGACTCCTCTTCTCACTCTGTACATATCTCATTCACACTACCTGTGGCAGTCTGCCCTCTGCAGAATTCCAATGGCACAAACCCACACATACAGGTGGGAGAATCAAAGAGCTGAGACATTACATGACTGGGAAACTGTTGTAAGAACTAAGCAAGACATCAATAGTACATGTTGGTCATTCATCCTTACAAGAGTTCAGTGCCTTTGAATTGAGGCAGAATGTGCAATGTGCAGTAAATACAGCAGTAGTAAAGTGAGAATCCTGGAATAGCATAGACGCACGTAAAGCAGTGTCCTTGGGGGAGTAAGCATAGGGTTCAGAGGCCAGAGCACTTGATTGAATATTCAATTTATTGTCATATCTGGAGATGTAGGTGATAGATCTGCATATTCTCCAAAAAGTAAGATGGACGTTTACTATACTTTTTTG